CCATGTAGCTGCTGTAGGTGGAGCTGACTTCTAGCTGGTCTGGTGCAATGGTAGTGGCAGCAGGTTTGTGAACCAATGTTGGCCAGGCAGAAGGAGTGGCAGGCTGTGCATTGTGGTGGGGGACCTTGGCACACATCACCAGCCAAGAGGATGGAGAATCTGAAGCTTCTGAAAGTTCCCAACCTGCTGGGCTGAGTGTGCCAGGACGATTTTGTCCACCTGTCTTTTCTCCTAAGCTGCAAGCTCTGTGTAATTCTTGCCCCTTCAGCAGCCCTATTGCTGTTGGGAAGTCTTTTAAAGTGCCCACTTTTCTTTTTTCCTGGAGTGGCTGGTTGTGGGTATCTGTTCTCCACAAGTGGCTGGAATCTGTCTTTCCAGGTATTCCATCTGTCTTTGCTTTCCAACCCCACTAATCTCCAGAGCACCATGTAATATGGGTCTGTGCCCCTGGAGCAGATCTCCAGGGCTGGGTGTTCAGCAGTCCTAGGCCTCTACCCCCTCCCTGATCCATTTCTCTTCCTTTTGCTGGTGAGCTGGGGAGTCAGGAGGGCTTGGGTCCCACTGGATCATGGCTTTGCTACTTTACCCTTTTCTGGGAGGTCTTCTGTTTTCCCCAGATGTAGGCAGTCTGTTGCAGTCTTCTTTCCAGTTGCTTCATCAGAATTAGTTGTATTTGCTATATTTTCATATTATATGTGGTTTTGGGAAGAAGTTTCTGTTCTCACTTCTCATGCCACCATCTTTAAGCTTCCTGTTCTACTATTATTATTTTGATTAGTTCTTCTCTGATAGATAAATTAAGAGTAAGAAAAATAAGTTTTTATTTTACCTTCACTTATTCCTTCTCTAATGCTCTTTCTTTCTTTGTGTAGATCTGAGTTGCTGACCTATATAATTTTCCATCTCTCTGAAGACTTTCTTTTAACATTTCTTACAGGGTAGGATTATTGGTAACAATTATTTCTATTTTTATTTGTCTGAGAAAGTCATTATTTCTTCTTCACATTTAAAAGATAATTTCCCAGAATGTTCCTAGTTTTTTTCTCTCTCAACACTTTAAACATTTCACTACACTCTCTTCTTGCCTGCATGGGTTCTGAGAAGTTGAATCTAATGCTCATCTTTGATCCTCTACAGGTAATGTTTTTTTTCATCTCTCTGGGTTCTTTCAAAATTTCTTCTTTTAATCTTTGATTTTTTGAAATTTGAAGGTAGTATGCCTGCTTGATGATCTCTGAGCTTCCTGGATCAATGGTTTGGTATCTGACATTAACTTAGAGGAAATTAGTAGCCATTATTTTTTCAAATATTTCCTCTTTTGCTTTCTCTGTTTCTGGTATTCCCATTACTCAGATAATATATACCTTTTATATTTATCCCACAGTTTTTGGATATTCTGGGTTTTTTCAATATTTTTTCTCTTTATTCTTTCAGTTTTGGAAGTTACTATTGACATATCTTCAAGCTCAGAGATTCTTTCTCTAGCCAATTCCAGTTTACTAATCAGCTCAGCAAAGGTATTCTTTATTTCTCTTACAGTGTTTTAGATCTCTAGTATTTCTTTTTTTAATTCTTAGAATTTCCTTCTCTCTGCTTGCATAGTCTGGCTGTTCTTGCATGTTGTCTACTGGTCTGATAATTCCAGCATCCCTGCCATAGCTGAGTCTGGATTTAGGCTCTGATAAAACCCTAGTAGGTTAGGGTCTTGTAAAATGGTTTATCTTGAGGGCAGGACTCTTAAGAACAGAATGCTTTGGTGTATTTCAAAATGGTTATTTCTCTCCCTGATGGAAGGTCTAGGGAATTTTTCTCTGATATTCACTGTGATAACTTGGTAGAGTTCCTGGAGGTAAAACAAGTATGAGAGACATGCTATAGCTGGGCCCTCCTGGAGTTTGTAACTCTCAGACTTGCCTGCACTGATGCTGCAGCAATTTATTCATTACAGTTCAGGTTGTCCTATATTGGTACTGATTTTGGGGGAGGTTTCTGCTCAGATAAGTCGCAACCCAGTTAGTTTCAGGGGTGGTGCTTTGCCCTGTGATCTTACTTTTTTGAGGGATCTGGTGGAGTTGTTGATTTTTCACTTTGTTCAAGCTTTTAACTTGTTGTTAGGATGGAGTGGTGACTTCTAAGCTCCTTACATTCTGGATTGGAATTCCAAAGTACCCCATATTATTTAATTTTTACATGAGAATCCCAAGAGATTGGTGGGATTATTTAGTAGAAGAAGACAGAATCTATGTGAGGAGCCAGAATCGGAGCCGAGACCTGACCTTGAGGTGACTCCAAAGCTGATCCTCTTTATTAGAACACAACACTTAACTTTGAGGTACCTGGTATTCTGTTTAACTGTTGATAACTTTCCAGGGGACAAGATCTCTTTGCCATCTTTACCCATACATTCTAAGGTAGGACATTTTTAGTGTCTAACAAGTCCCTTTTGACTTCCAATATGCTTCTCTTCAGGTGACTGTGGACATTCCTTTGTGCATACCTTTGAGGCCATGAGAACAGCGTTTTGGCACTATCTTAATACTATCCTTGCTCATTTCCCTCAGTATCTTGGATCTAGCTCTCTTAGTCCATAAGGGAAAACAACTTAAAAAATAATATACATATGTGTCCAGGACCAAAAAAGAGTATAGTTACCACCAAGATAGATGTATACGGGGAGAACTTACAGTAGATTCTCTTGTAAACTCCATTATCTGCATGCCAAATTGCCTTAATGCCATATGCTACTGTGATTTGTTCCACTCTTATCCCAAACCAATCTGGAATCACTTAACCAAGCCCCATAGCTGGTGATTTCAGGACTAAAGAGATGATCTGGCCATCACACCTACTTTCTTAGATGGCTCTATATTAAGTACAGTGATTATAGAGAGATGTGGGGAATTTTACAGCATGTTCTCCAGCCAGCAAGATAATCAAGGCATGAAAACAATCTGATTTATGAGATAGTGGAGTAGTTACAGTGGCAGATGTTATCTTATCAATGATTTCTCTAGTTTCAAACTTTATTTTCAAGGCTGTTTATTTATTCTTTCATACTACCAAGGACAATTTGGTACTGATATATTCTCATCTTATTTCTGATTGAGGAGATTAATGGGACCAAAGTTATACACTAACTGAAAATTAAAAGAGGCTTCAACAAGTGGTGTGTGAGGCAATAGTTCTGTGATCCAGCAGTGAAATTCCAGGGAGTGAGGTTCTAGCAAGTGCACGGAGCTCTGCTGACTGTGATGCTGAGTCACAGAGGCATGAAGTCTGGGAAACAGGCCAGAGAAGAACAAAATCTGTCTAGAAGTGCAAAATCTTAAAATCTATCAGAAGAGGACTAGATCCAAGATTCCAAGGAAAATGAGCAAGGATAATGTAACAATAGATATAAAGATTTATTTAGGACATTGATTTCCATTCCTAACTTTCCTGACATCTTCAAGTGTCAGACCTTATTCAACCAGAAGTCTGTTTTTACTGACTAGTGATCTGGAGAGTTTTTACTCTGATACGGCATCTATTAATTTTTCCACCTCTATTTTCATCCATTTGTCTTTGGTCCATCGTCCATCCATCCATCCAACAAATGTTTATTGAGATGCTGCTATATACCAAGCCCAGTACCAAGTATTCAGTTTTTTGCCTGGAGCCATGTACAATCTATATGTAGAGAGAGACATGTAAATAAGTAAATAAATGTAACACGTTATAGTAAGGGTTGCAATAGTGGAATGTGCAAAGTACAATATGAAGCACCTAACAAGTAGCCAAGGTAAGAATAGGTGACATTTGGACAAGATCTTGAAAGATTAATATGAATTTATGAATTTTCCAAACAACAATAATAAAAACAGCAATGTTTCTTAAATTTGCACTAGGTGCTAAGAATTATGCTCTGAACTTTACATACATTATCTCACTTGGTCTTTCTCTCGGTCTTGTGGGCTACACAGTATAACCCCCATTTTACAGAAGAAGCACAGAGAGATTGCAAAACTTTCACAATTCTCACAGCTTGTCAGTGTCAGTCCTGATTGTTAAAGCCATGTCTCTATGGCTCCAAAGCCTGTATTTTCAACTATATTATTTCTTTATTATCTACAGACAATTTTTATTGGGAAATATTTGATTCTGTCCTGAGTGCAAATTTCTATCATTCGATGGCAATACATAGGAATGCAAAAAATTTAATCCAGTAGCTGTTTCAATCATTATTGATCTGCTCTTTAACTATCTTTTTTTCTCAGAGGAGGATTTCAGCCAAAAGAATGGCATATAAAAGGCAGGGAGGCAAAAAAGAGCATGGCACACTTGAGGAAGATAAAGGTTTTAGGGGTCCTGAAGCACAAAGACTGGTGTGGTTGAAAGGCTGCTGGACAGGATGGGGCCAAGGCAGGAAGGCATGCATGTCCTGTGGTGTGAGCACGTCTTCCTTCTGTGGGCACACTCAGCAGTCTGGTGCTAGCTGTCTTTCCTTACAACCTGGAGAACTGGATCAGGTCCCAACTGATCTCGGCAACAGACCGGCAGCCTAAAAGAATAATGCCGTTAGAAAGCCCATTTCTCTAAAACACCAATGACCCACCCCATCATGGATATGGGATGACCCAATGGGAACAAGCCTGACTTGATCTTTGTGTTCACTCTGGTAAAATGTTATGTATACAGGATGAGAATGTAATTACATTGGGAATTCCTTTGTGAGCCTGTGCCTTTGTCCTCTTTTATCACAGCCATGTCAAAGTGACATGGTAAAAATGTAGAAACACTATTAGTAATTAAAAAAAAAATAATTTATGTGTGTAATAGATACATGACCTTTAGCTCAGTCCTGATAAGGCTTAGGAATATCAGAAGTATCTGTCGGGGAGGAATATGACTCAGGAATAGCAGAAGAGACGGGGTAAGTATTTCATACAGCATTACCATACCTTCTAGGGGAAAAAAGTTCTATGAAATGAAATAGACTTTTTTAGTGGTAGATAGGAGGCAAAAAAGAGCATGGCACACTTGAGGAAGATAAAGGTTTTAGGGGTCCTGAAGCACAAAGACTGGTGTGGTTGAAAGGCTGCTGGACAGGATGGGGCCAAGGCAGGAAGGCATGCATGTCCTGTGGTGTGAGCACGTCTTCCTTCTGTGGGCACACTCAGCAGTCTGGTGCTAGCTGTCTTTCCTTACAACCTGGAGAACTGGATCAGGTCCCAACTGATCTCGGCAACAGACCGGCAGCCTAAAAGAATAATGCCGTTAGAAAGCCCATTTCTCTAAAACACCAATGACCCACCCCATCATGGATATGGGATGACCCAATGGGAACAAGCCTGACTTGATCTTTGTGTTCACTCTGGTAAAATGTTATGTATACAGGATGAGAATGTAATTACATTGGGAATTCCTTTGTGAGCCTGTGCCTTTGTCCTCTTTTATCACAGCCATGTCAAAGTGACATGGTAAAAATGTAGAAACACTATTAGTAATTAAAAAAAAAATAATTTATGTGTGTAATAGATACATGACCTTTAGCTCAGTCCTGATAAGGCTTAGGAATATCAGAAGTATCTGTCGGGGAGGAATATGACTCAGGAATAGCAGAAGAGACGGGGTAAGTATTTCATACAGCATTACCATACCTTCTAGGGGAAAAAAGTTCTATGAAATGAAATAGACTTTTTTAGTGGTAGATCTTAGGTAAAAGGCAAAGTTAGGACTGTAGGTGAGATTAGACACTGGGATTGATAAGAGTAACTCCAGATGAGAAGTAAGAGGAGAAGGGAAGGAGAGGAGCTAGCATGATGGACTAGAGAACTGTGGGCTCCAGCAGCCAGGGAGAACCCCTGGTGATGAGAAGGCTGAAAGGATTCAGTGTAGCCTGTGAGCTGTTTGACTTGGAGTTCTTCTCACGTGGATGCTGTATGCATGCCCACCTCTCAGAACATAACCTGAGTAAAATGTATTACTCACAAAAATACAAGTAATGAGAGGGTCGTTTCTTAAAAATGGAGCAGACAAAAAAGTTGAATTTCATGTGTGAGTTGATTGTAGTGGACAGAAACAGCAGGCATGGGAAATACTCTGTAAATTGAACTAATTCTGTAAAGGCAGGAAATTGGAGCCAGAGTGGCTGTCCTCAGGACTGATGAAGAGGAGAGCTCTGGGGTCTGTGGGGCAGAGAGCCATGGGGCTCCAAAACAGGCAGACCTACCCAGGGGGCACAGCGATGCTAAAATAAAACCTTTGGTTATACACTGTAGTAAAAATAATATCTAAAGTATGTAAAAATGTCCCAGTAGTAGCATCAAAACGTTATGATTCCATTCTGAGACAGTTTGAAGCATCCATTCACTTATAAGTCCCAGTGATATTTGTGACATCCGACATGCCAGTGAAAGCTCCCATCTGGTTGGTTTCTGGGTCCCATATGGGAATAAGGACACACTACCTTGCACTTGAGAGAGGTTCAGTAAAAGTTTGAGAGAGAATACAAATTATACTTTATTCCTGCTTTTTCATTAGGAAGAGATTTAAATTAAAATGTTTTGGCTGGTTTAAAGTGATATGGGTAATTCCAAACAAAGCTCAAGAAGAGTCACGGGGGAGGGATAGGGATGGGTGGGTGAAACAGGTGAAGGGAATAAAGATACATAAAATCCCAACCATAATTAAATTAGTAGAAATGAAAGTACAGCATAGAGAATATAGTCGCTAGTTGTGTAACATCTTTCTGTGTTGACAGATAGTAACTACACTGGTTGGGTGAGGATTTAATAATGTAGATAACTGTTGAGTCATTATGTTGTATATTTGAAACCGATATAATACTGTGTATCAACTATACTTCAATAAAAAATATATCAAAAAAAATTCACATGCTTTTCTAATTCAGCTTTCTCCCTTTATGAGGGATGAGACATTAGTGAGGTCTGTGCAGCCTTCTGTTCATATGATTTATATGTAGACATTTTCGTTTTTCAAACCTTCCTATAATTTCAGCAATTGGACTCATGATCAGCAAAACATTACTTGTGAAATTACTTGGTCCTCTGCAATAGTGCAAAAAGGGTTCTCCTCCCAGGGTTGTGATGTCATCAGTCATAAAGAGAAAGAAAATCACACTTTTCCAGGGGAATTAGGAGAGAGAAGTCATGCCGACCACTGACTCCTGGGTGCTGATTCTGTGTAAGGCGTCTCACATGCATTGTGTGGGGACCAGCCGAGGGGTGACAGAATCTCTGGGATTCCACACTGTGAGTTTATATTTACAGTGAGTTCCACCCAAAGCACAGACCCCCACCTAAGGCCCTAGGGACTAGGCTGGGGGATCGTCTCTTACACAGGGATGCCAAGGAAACCTCGGTTTCCTCCCATTTCTCTTCCTCCCAGAACTCTCTTCTCTGTCCCAAGTTTGGTTGTGACTAACTGATCTTTCATTATGTTTAGAACTTCACTTTCACTATAGAACAATTACAAGGAGAGGAGTATGAAAAATCAGGCATGAAACGCTCATAATCCTGTTTTTTCTTTTCTTCTCCCCTGTTGCTTTTTAAAAAGGCTATTGTACACTTTCTATTTCAGAAAAGGATTTCTCAGTCATCATTTACACCCCAGAATTGTTAAGTATAAACTTTTGGTGGGATAAAAATGTTTGGTTATTGTGAATTGCCCCAACAGGCATCTGTTCAAAGAAGTTTGGAAATTATTTCACAAGGATGGGAGAAAATACTTGAGGGATCAGGAGAAGTCATCTCAACCTCCTGGAATTCACAGAAGCTCATAGGTTTCCCTGTCCTCTTCCCCCTCCCTCATGGGGGTAAAAGACACCAATATGATGTCAGTTCATACGTACCCTCAGTGACATTGGGCCATTTATGGACTTACCTTCACAGGCTTTGAACAGCATGGCTCTGGTCCAAAGCTAATGGTGCTGGTTCTCAATACATTGACCCATTGCCCTTTTTTCTCCTTTAATCTGCCCAGTGGAAAATAGACTGGTGCTGGTGTTAATGCTGATCCAATTTTTCTAGTGCATACTACTCATGACCAAAAGTTCGAGTTCATGGCCCCAGTGGTCACTGAGTACAAGATATTTGTCTAAAGGCCAGAATAAACCCAGACTTGAGAAGACCTGGGTGTCTTGTGTGATGTCCAGCACACGGCAAATTCTTGGTAACAACTATGGAAATAAGTTAATGGGATGAAAATGGTCTCGATTTCCCTTCAGGCCTCTTGATTCTTTATATCCTTACTTCTTAAGAAGGTCTGTATTATTACCGAATTTTAGAATTGAGGAGAGAGTGAAGTCTTCATCTTGTCTGTCCTTAAAAATCGCAATCAATAACCATCTACAGCCAACACAGACAGTCAAAAACAGAGCTCTCAGCCTGTCTACTTGAGTAGGATAGTTCTCTATGAGACAGCTCCAAGCATTTTAGGGCATTGAGCATCCCTGGACCCTGAGCACTAAATACATGCAGTACCCACCCTGCAGTCATCGTGCCAAGTAGAAAGAACAAAAGCTAAAAACCCAAGGAGCCATCTCCCCAGCTCCACCATGCTTCCTCTTTGACATAATTTCTCAGCTTGTCACAGTCCATGAATACTACTTAAAAGATGGCACCAAGAACAACATCCAACAAGCCTGAAATGATCTGAACAGGCCTGAGTAAAACTGGATCTTCTTTCCCATGATTTGAAACTGCACTGGCTTTTGTCGCAAATGTACCATATTTGGAGTTTGTGCTTTATCTCTGCCCGGGGTATTTATTCTCTGCTCTCTCTTCTGGGCAGCCACTAGGCCAGGGAGAGGGGAGCTAGAAGGAGGGGTTACCCCTCCTGTTCTTTAGACCTCCTGCCTTTAGCCCCATATCAAGAAAACAATTTTAAAAACTTACCTGTAAGGGTCATGGAAGTATGGAACTCATTTTTTAAAATCTTCAAAACTTCCTCAACACCACGTTCACCCTGCTCCCAAGGCAGAGAGAGAGGGAGACAAAATGGGGTGTGAAGGAACATTCTGACCTTGTGCTGAGTATAAATTCTAGGTGTGCTCAGAGCTGTGCTGGGGAGGATGGGAAATCTGTGAAATCAGAACCACACTGAAAATAAAGGAAAGCAAAGAGGAAAAGATGGGGGAGAGAGTTCTTGAAAAGTTCCAGCATGCTGCAGGGGAAGCATGCATGTTCAAGTGAATGCTAACAGTCTTTCAGGAATTTGTAGCACCTCAAAAACCAGCTAAGCTTGGGCATGAATATACAGAAAAGCGTGGAATCTAGATAAAGATGGTATCTTTTTACAGTTGGCTTCACTTTGCCACACTTACCTTGCAGGCAAGACCCCATAGGATTGGTCTTCCCAGAAAAATGCACTTAGCCCCAAGGGCCAGGGCCTTTAGCACATCATTGCCGGTACGGATCCCACCATCTAGGTACACTTCCATTTTTCCTCTCACAGCCACCACTACTTCTGTCAGGGCATCGATCTGAAGGAGAGAGACATAGCTCAAGAGATTTCCATTTTGACCCTCAGGGTGTTCTGGGACAGTGGTGCCCCCTCCATGTGGGCTAGGGACCAAGAAGTCTAAGCCCAATGATGTCTAGTAGTTGCTTTCCTGACCCGTGCTGAAGCTGCTGGCACCTATCAAAGCAGAGCAGTTATGTTCCAAGGCCCAGGAACTTGCTGTAGGCTCTTCCCACTGACATTGTTTGCCACGACAGGGTGTGCCTTCCCTCTGACTTGCTTGTTTGGATGTCTGCAGCTTGGAAGAAACTCTTGGATCCTCTTCATGTCCTAAATTGGCCATTTCCCATTTGGAGTGTTCATTTTAATGTTCTTTTTAAGAATTTTTTGACTTTCGATTTTTTTCCACCTTTTCTGTTTCTTGGTGGGCGCAGCTAGAAATGCTATCTGTTGCTCTCAAGTCTTTTTAGCAAGACAAGCATGATTGGCAGTGGCCCAGGTGTCTGGACTGCAGCCTGTCTTTGTAACTGGGCTACACATCGTTCATTGCACATCACATTTAAGGCAACTGCTCTTGACTCTCTTCTGGGTTACCTGAGGTATAGGATAGGAATGAAGCTACAACCCTGTGAAAGTAGAGCTGAAGCTTTTGAAAGGCAAAACAAAAGCAGCTTATCACTTACTCTTTTCCCTTGGTCTCAGGAGGAAACACAAGTAGTGTTAGATATGGAACCTTCTAAAGATGGGAACTTCACTCAAAGACTCATACCCATTCCATGGGGGGATCTTGGGTGAGAAGAGAGAGGCACTGATGCAAACACAAAATTTACTGGGTGCCAAAACTCTTGGCAAAATAATATCTGGATGTGATATTTAAAAAATCAAATGGCTGGAGGATTAAAGATGGCAGATTGAGAGGTGAGACAGAGACTTCCTCCTAAAACTGCATATAATATGAAAATAAAGTTAATACAACTAATCCTGAGAGAGCAACAGGAAAGAGGACTCCGCCAGACTGCATACACCTGGAGAAAAGAGCAGACCTCAAGTAACAGGGTAATGTACCAAAGCTGTGGCCCAACAGGACCCAAACCCTTCCCCCACACCAGCTCACCAGCGGGAGGAAGAGAAACTGAGCAGGGAGGGAGTGGAGACCTGGGACTGCTGAATACCTAACTCCGGAGATCTGCTCTGGGAGCACAAACCTACATTTCATGGTTCTTGCATGATACTCTTGTAATTATGGGGTTGGAAAGCTAAGACAGGCACAATTCATGGAGAGACTGAGATTCCAGCCGCTTGTGGAAAGCAGGGATCCATATCTGGCTTCTCTGGGACAAAAGCTTATACCTGTGTGCTCAGCCCACTGGATCAGGCAGTGGAGACAGGCATAGTGGCTGGGAAGCAGGAAACAGCTCTTTCCTCCCCTCAGGCACCAATCCCACTTCCCTGCAATACCCGACATTGCTTCAGGGGCTGAGCAGCTCCAGAGAGTAGAGCTTCTGGACACTAGAGGGTGACATATACAAATATGAAACGCCAAAGGAACCTGGTCCAGAGTAAAATTATTAATACAACTCCCAAAAAAGATTTAAATGACATGGACCTCCTGAATCTTCCTGAAAGGGAGTTCAAAATAAAAATCATTAACATGCTAGAGGTACAGGAAGATATTCAAGAACGCAGGAATGAATTCTGGTTGGAGATCCAGTCATTGAAGAGCAGAATGGAAGGTATTAAAAGCACTATTGGATATGGTGGAGGAAACAATAAATGAAATAGAAGCTAGAGAAGAGGAATACAAAGAAGCTGAGGCACAGAGAGAAAAAAGGATCTCCAAAAATGAAAGAATATTGAGAGAACTGTGTGACCAATCCAAACAGAACGATATTCGCATTATAGGGATACCAGAAGAAGGAGAGAGAGAGAAAGGGATAGAAAATGTCTTTGAGGAGGTAGTTGCTGAAAACTTCCCCAATCTGGGGAAGGAGATAGTCTCTCAGGCCATGGAGATTCACAGATCTCCCAACACAAGGGACCCAAGGAAGACAACACCAAGACATATAGTAATTAAAATGGCAAATATCAAAGATAAGGACAGATTATTAAAAGCAGCCAGAGAGAGAAATAAGATCACATACAAAGGAAAGCCCATCAGGCTAACATCAGACTTCTCAGCAGAAACCTTACAGGCAAGAAGGGAGTGGCATGATGTATTTAATGCAATGAAGCAGAAGGGTGTGGAACTAAGATTACTTTATCTGGCAAGATTATAATTTAAATTTGAAGGAGGGATTAAACAATTTTCAGATAAGCAAAAGTTGAGAGAATTTACCTCCCACAAACCATCTCTGAAGTCTATTTTGGAGGGACTGCTATAGATGGAAGTGTTTCTAAGGTTTAATAGCTGTCATCAGAGGTAATAAACTCACAGTAAAGAAATTAGAACAGCTAATTACTAAGCAAGTACAAAATTAAATTAACTATCCACAAAGTCAATCAAGTGATAGCAAAACAGTATAGAATATGATACCTAATATATAAAGAATAGAGGAGGAAGAAAAAGGAGGAAAAAAAGAAAAGAACCTTTAGATTGTGTTTGTAATAGCATATTAAGTGAGTTAAGTTAGACTCTTAGATAGTAAGGAAGTTAACCCTGAACCTTTGGTAACCATGAATCTAAAGTCTGTGATAGCAATAAGTACATACCTATCAATAATCACCCTAAATGTGAATGGACTGAGTGCACTGATCAAAAGACATAGAGTCACTGAATGGATAAAAAAACAATACCGATCTATATGCTGCCTACAAGAGACTCACTTTAAACCCAAAGACATACACAGACTAAAAGTGAAGGGATGGAAAAAGATATTTCATGCAACTAACAGAGAAAAAAAAAAGGAGTTATAGTACTTGTATCAGACAAAATAGACTTCAAAACAAAGAAAATCATAAGAGACAAAGAAGGACATGACATAATGATAAAGGGGTCAATCCAACAAGAAGATACAACCATTATAAATATCTATGCTTCCAACACAGGAGCACCTACATATGTGAAACAAATACTAACTGAATTAAAAGGGGAAATAGAATGCAATGCATTCATTCTAGGAGACTTCAACATTCCACTCACTCTGAAGGACAGATCAACCAGACAGAAAATAAGTAAGGACACATAGGAACTGAACAAAACATTAGAACAGATGGACCTAACAGACATCTACAGAACTCTACACCAAAAAAACAGCAAAATGCACATTCTTCTCAAGTGCACATGGAACATTTTCAAGAATAGATCATATACTAGCCACAAAAAGAGCCTCAGTAAGTTGAAAAAGTAAATGGACAACTTTCTAGAAAAATATACCCTTCCAAGGCTGACCAAGGAAGAAACAGAAAATATGAACAGACCAATTATATCTGAATTCTGCAAAGTTGGAACGAAATTGTACTGGTAATCAGAAAACTACCTAAGGCCAAAACTCCTGGACCAGATGGCTTCATCACTGAATTTTATCAAACATTTAGTGAAGACCTAATACCCATCCTCCTTAAAGTTTTCCAAAGAGTAGAAGAAGCGGGAATACTTCCAAACTCATTCTATGAAGCCAGCATCACTCTAATACCAAAACTAGGCAAAGACACCAGAAAAAAAGAAAATTACAGACCAATATCCCTGATGAACATAGATGCAAAAATACTCAGCAAAACATTAGGAAACTGAATTCAAAAATACATCGAAAAGATCATCCATCATGATCAAGTAGGATTTATTCCAGGGATGCAAGGATGGTACAACATTCAAAAATCCATCAACATCACCCACCACCAACAAAAAGGACAAAACCCACAAGATTATCTCCATAAGTTCTGAAAAAGCATTTGACAAAATTCAACATCCATTCATGATAAAAACTCTCAACAAAATAAGTATAGAGGGAAAGCACCTCAACATAATAAAGGTCATATATGACAAACCCACAACCAACATCATACTTAATAGTGAGAAGTTGAAAGCTTTTCCTTTAAGAACAGGAACAAGACAAGGATGCCCACTTTCCCCACTTTTATTCAATATAGTACTGGAGGTCCTAGCCAAGGGGATCAGCCTACATGAAGAAATAAACGGCATCCAGATTGGCAAGGAAGAAGTTAAACTGTCCCTGTTTGCAGATGACATGATATTGTACATAAAAAACCCTAAAGAATGCACTCCAAAACTACTAGATCTAATATCTGAATTCTGCAATGTTGCAAGATACAAAATTAATACACAGAAATCTATGGCATTTCTATACACTAACAATAAACTAGCCGAGAGAGAAATCAGGAGAACAATTTCATTCAAAATTGCATCAGAAAGAATAAAATACCTAGGAATAAACCTAACCAAGGAAGTGAAAGACTTTTACCCTGAAAACTACAAGAAACTCTTAATAGAACTTAAGGAAGATACCAATAAATGGAAACACATCCCATGTTCATGGATAGAAAGAATTAATATTGTCAAAATGTCAATCCTGCCTAAAGCAATCTATAGATTCAGTGCAATTCCTATCAAAATAGCAAAAGCATTCTTCAATGAACTAGAACAAATAGTTCTAAAATTCATAAGGAACCACAAAAGACCTCGAATAGCCAAAGCAATTCTGAGAAGGAAGAATAAAGCTGGGGGCATTACGCTCCCCAACTTCAAGTGCTACTGCAGAGCCACAGTAATCAAGACAATTTGGTAATGGCACAAGAACAGACCCATAGACCAATGGAACAGACTAGAGAGCCCTGATATAAACCCAACCATATATGGTCAATTAATATATGATAAAGGAGCCATGGATATACAATGGGGAAATTACAGCCTCTTCAACAGCTGGTGTTTGCAAAACTGGACAGCTACATGCAAGAGAATGAAACTGGATTATTGTTTAACCCCATATATAAAAGTAAACTCAAAATGGATCAAAGACTTGAATGTAAGTCATGAAAACATAAAACTCTTAGAAGACAACATAGGCAAACATCTCCTGAATATAAGCATGAGCAACTTCTTTCTAAATGCATCTCCTTGAGAAAGGGAAACAAAAACAAAAATGAACTCATGGGACTATATCAAACTAAAAAGTTTCTGTACAGCAAAGGACACCATCAACAGAACAAAAAGGCATCCTACAGTACAGGATGATATATTTGTAAATGACATATCTGACAAGGGCTTAACATCCAAAATATATAAAGAACTTACACATCTCAATACCCAAAAAGCAAATAGCATGATTAAAAAATGGGCAGAGGATATGAAGAGACAGTTTTCCAAAGAAGAAATTCAGATGGCCAACAGACACGTGGAAAGATGCTCCTCATCACTAATCATCAGGGAAATGTAAATTAAAACCACAATGAGATATCACCTCACACCAGTAAGGATGACCAGCATCGAAAAGACTAAGAACAACAAATGCTGGTGAGGATGCGGAGAAAGGGGAATGCTCCTACACTGCTGATGGGAATGTAAGCTAGTTCAACCATTGTGGAAAGCAGTATGGAGGTTCCTCAAAACGTAAAAATAGAAATACTATTTGACCTGGGAATCCCACTCCTTGGAATTTACCCAAAGAATACAACTTCTCAGATTTCAAAAGACATATGCACCCCTATGTTTATCACAGCACTTTTTGCAATAGCCAATATATGGAAGCAACCTAAGTGTCCACCACCAGTAGATGAATGGATAAAGAAGATGTGGTACATATACACAATGGAATACTATTCAGCCATAAGAAATAACAAACCCTACAATTTGGAACAACATGGATGGAGCTGGAGGACATTTTGCTCAGTGAAATAAGCCAGGCGGAGAAAGACAAATGCCAAATGATTTCCCTTATTTGTGGAGTATAACAGTGAAGCAAAACTGAAGGAACAAATTAGCAGCAGACTCAGAGACTCCAGGAATGAACTAGTGGTTACCAAAGGGGAGGGGTGTGGGAGGGCAGGTAGGGAGGGAGGGAGAAGGGGACTGAGGGGTATTATGTTTAGTACACATGGTATGGGGGACCACGGGGAGAACAGTGTAACACAGAGAAGGCACATAGTGGATCTGTGGCATCTTGCTGCACTGATGGACAGTGACTGCATTGGGGTATGGGTGGGGACTCAATAATATGTGTAAATGTAGTAACCACATTGTTTTTTCATGTGAAACCTTCATAAGAGTGTATATCAATCATACCTTAATAAAAAATTTAAAAAAAATCAAATGGCTATCCCTGCCCCATGGGCTGGGGGCTTGTTTTATGAATAAAGTGTTATTGGATCCAGGGCCAGAATTAGGATGAGATAAATGAGGCGGGATTATTCAAGTGAGGGTAAAAATCCTGCCTTTATTTAAAATGTTGGTATTTTGTTTACCATGGATTTGTTTTTTTGGCATTGATTTTCAGTTTTTAGAGAGTTTAATGCACTATCCTTTATCTTACTAAGCTTTTCTGGCACCTTTTAAATTTTCCCATCAGAGGTGGGTACGTCTCCACCTCCCATGATCTTGCACTATCTCGGGTGGCCTTGGGTTTGGTTGTTGAGTCAGACAGCTTGGGAGAAGGACATGTTGGTCAGCAAGATGGGGCAGAGAAATTCTCACTCTGGCTCCTGCCTTTATAAACACTTAACTCTGTTGAGAACATGCAGTGGGAGAATTACCTGGCCTCTTTCTGCACTTTCTCAGTCCTCTCTAACAGAGCAAGACTAGCTAAGCTGACTCATGAGACAGAGCCTATTGTATGTTTTATTTGAGTTGTATCAAGAGTCAATATTCTACCCCATTTAGGGGCTCTTCTTTGCTTTCTGCTCCTATGTAGTAAGCACAGCAGGACCCCCAGGGCTTGCCTAGCGCTCTTTCGTTCTCTCTCTTCTGCCAGTTCTTGGGTATGTGAGAGGGGCCTTGTGGGCATCCTTGCAGCGGCTGGTGAGAGAGTTTTGTGTGTTCTGCAGACCTACTTTCTCCTGGGGTCACAGGTTGAGATTTGGGATGGCACGTTATGCCGTGCCCGTCCTCTCTCAGCTAGAGCTTGGTGGGAAGGAGGAACGTGACAGGCACCTTAAATCTCCAAGCTTCACAAGCCTTGGAATGTACAAACTGGTTGATGTAGCTTTTCTATTTCTTGGAATTTGAAGAAAGTAATTGAGAATGTGCTCAAGATTTAAGGATGGTCACTGATGCATTGTTTAAAATAGTGAAAGCTTGGAAACAATTCAGTTCAGATGTTCAACAACAGAAAGTTGGTTATATAAATTGTCCATTCATACCACACACAGTTAAAAACAAGAGAAGCATATATACTGAAATGAAATGATGCTCTTAATATATTGATTAGTGAAGAGAAGAAAATTACAAAATATTACATAGTTTCTTAAATCTAAAATGTATCTACATTAAGAAGTTGATATAAACAATTACCAAAATATTGTCACTTAAGTATAAAGATGAAATTAGGGGTGATTTTTGTCTTTTTCTTTTAGCCTATGTATATTTTATAATTGATCTGCAGTGAACATGTCTTATTTATATAACAAAAAGTCCAGAAAAACTTGGGAGGAAGAAAAACCTCATTTTTCTCTCTTAAAATGAGTCAAGCAGCAATAGAAGAATCTCCTGAGAAATATAAGCTATATATCTCCATGAAAATAAATCAGCAATTAATTTCCATTTAATGATTCTTTCCCTACCTCCCTCTCTTCATTTTTTCCCCCTAATTCCATCTATAATGGACACAAATTCATAAATTAGGAGAAAATTACAGACTGTCACAGATTTTTAGCAAAGGATTTATAGGGCATTTTGAAGTTTCATTGCGAAACATGGTTATTTATTAGTTTAAGTGACGCAGAGTTCCTTCCCGGGATGTGTCATGGGAGAAAATATGTCGTCCATGCAGACATGCAAGCTTCAAGCTAAATGCTTCTTCCGGAAGGCAGACTTAGTACCTTTACAACATCTTTCCTTACAAATTCCACCTTAATTACTTATTAACTGTGTGAATGTGGGCAAGTTATTTAATATCTCTAAATGCCAGCATCTTCATCTGTAAAATAAAGACAATAATTCTCTTCTTGCAGGACTGTCATGAGACTTAGGGGGTGATATATGTAAAGTTTGTAAAAGTAGCCTGTACACATTATTCTATTATTAATAATTAAAAGTCTTTAAAATTCCCAGGCGTGTATCAGCATATGTAAGGAGAGGGGACTCTACATCAAATTGCCCAGAGCACCTTGCTGTGGACACACATACACATACACAGCACCCACAAAAGCTCCCCCATGAGGTCAACCTACTTACAGAAGCAGGGACCTCATCAAGCTGCCTCCCACCATGGTTGGAAACAATGATGCCTTGGACATTGTGCTTCACAGCTAATTCCGCATCCTCTTTCGTCAAGATCCCTTTAAGGATGATGGGCAATCGAGTTATACTCTGAAACCAGGAGAGATCATTCCAGCAGATGGATGGGTCAATGGGGGACATCTGGAAATAAGGCACGGTATTTCCCTGTGGGGAATAAAAGAGCACTTTAGTCCTGAACTCCTTCAACACTGCTTGATCCAGCCCAAAGATGAAGCATGTTCAGAAAGCCATCTTTTTTAAGTTTGAAAAAAAGAGCAACAAAATCCAACAATACTTCTAGTTCCTTTTCCTAACAAAAATGTATGTAAAAGAATTTCTACTTCAATTGCTTATTCACTAACCATTAATTGGGTCCCTCCTCAAGAAATATGCCAAGATCTGGGGATTCAAAGACAAATTAAGACAGTCTCTACTTTAAAAGAACTCAGTGTTAGTAAGTGAGATGGTTAAGCACAAGCAGTTATAGGCTAATAATAGGCCTGTAATGTAATGTGTTACAGTTGAGATGTGCACAGAGTAGTAAGTCTGATAATCCTATATGGGATATTATCCTATATTTACCCTTGGCTCACTCTGTGAGTCATATATCCATATATCCCAGTGTGTCTCTGGAATCTGAACACTTCAAGGACAGTCTATGACTGAGGAGAACTGGTGAGCCGCTGGACTGGGTATCACAGCTGCCTGTTGGCTGAAAAGGCTAGCATCATTATCTCTAGCGTGACCAAAGGACCCCCTGTTCACCATGACTTCCACTTGGGGGGGTGCTCCATGTCATCTGCTTGTAGGGTATTAATGGAGTAAGTGCCCTTTGCAGTCATTTAGTTCAGAGATTCCAAAGAAGGGTGCTGAAGCACCCTGACGCTTGATGGATGAGTTCTAGATTTGCAGAGAAATTGACCCTCAGTTCCCAGGGCAGCAGGGTGGGACCTGGGCTGGCTACATGCCATGGGCCAGTCACCTTGGCTGTGAGTGTCCTCGTCAGAAAGTCAGTTCATCTAAATGTGCCATCCAAAATCATCACTTTTTAAGTGTTCCATAAGGAAGAAAATGGTAGAGGAATGTGTTTAATTTATTCTCCTATTCTAGACCTGCTTTTTGAACTGTGGCATCCTCAGTGTGTAGCAGTGAGCAGGCACTCAATGAAGTCTTGTGGAGAGAAAGAAGAGAGGTGAGAGGGAAGGAAATCTGACTCCTGTAATGCCTGCCCATTGGATCTGGTATCTTTCCTACCTCCTTAGGTGATCTAAGATCTTTTAGCAGTAGGTTAATCTTTAAGTCCAGTTGGTTTCGAATGTCATGTCTCCTGTTGCCAACTTTGGGAGTATCCACAGTGATTACCAGAGCTTTGAAACCCAGGGATTCTACCCTCTGGATCAGTTGTTTGTTCAGCTGCCGGTCTCGCTGCACATAGAGTTGGAACCACCGGAGGCCCCGGGGAGCAGTAGCCACGATGTCTTCAAGGGCACAGCTGGCGTATGTGCTGGTGATGTAGCAGATACTTGCTGCCTGGGCAGCTGCAAAGCAAACGAAGCAAGCCGGTTTGCCCTGTGAGTGAAGACAAAGCTTGACTTCATTCTGCTTTCATAAGGGCAAGGAGAGGAGGTGTTTGATCAAACTGGGAAGCTGAAAGCTGTCTGGGTCTCCCTCTGTATAACCTGTCTTACCAACCCTGTACTTCGTATTAAAAATTTTCCAGCTAGAGGTGTCATTTTGTCCCCAGAGCCATTTTGCAGTGGAAAAAGCACAATATTAGAAGTTAGAAGAATGCTTCTAACTTTTTAGCTGTGTGGCCTTGAGTCTCATTTTTTTAATCTGTAAAACAGGGCAAGTAATGCCTCTCTTATAGAATTGCTGGGAGATTAAATAAGATACTAGATATGGAAGCATTTTTTTAAATATATGAAACCATTTTTAAAAGTTACTAATGAAGGTGTGAAAGTGCTAGTGATGGTGAGGTGGATGCCAATGATGGTGCCGACGTTGGTACTGCCTCTGTGTTGTATGTTTCTCATTTCCCACTTTAATCGTTTCCAGTGGGATTCTCCAACAGGCTGATGTCACTGCCATTCTACAACTGATGGTCACAGAATATGGCCTAATCAAGAGCCAATATCTTCAATTCCTAAATCAACAGTAGTTACCCTTCTTTTGCCCCACCCTGAAAACAACACAACACATTCAAGCATGAAGATTTAGTAAAACAGCCATATTGATAAAGGATAATCATACTCTTCAACCTAGCCAGACTTGGTTCCTAACCAGGTAGATGTCACTTTCAGTTCCAGAATCCTTGGATTTATTGCTTCCTTTATCACGGAGTCAAAGGAAAAGACCCCAGGGAAGCCTTGGGCAACTTTTAAAAATGAATGAATGAATGAATGAATGAATGAATGAATGAATGAATAAAGTACATAGATAGATAGATAGATGGATAGATAAACGAACCAGATTTGGCCTAGAGCACAGATCACAAGGGAGTCACAAGGGTTTTTTAGCCTTGCCCCTTTTCCTCTCCTCTCCCTTCCCTGCCCCTTTCCTCTTTTCCTTATTTATTTTTTTATTTGGGGGGTGAGGGAATGAGGGAAGAGAATGAGGAGCTACTAAGAAGGAGATATAACCCAATAAAACATTTTTCTCATATAAGACGATGAAGCCAACCCATGAGAAGGGAAACGGGACATTTGGGTGCGAGCGTCTGCCAGGGCCTGTGTTAGGCCCCAGTGTCATGACGCTCTCCTCATCCCAAATTCAGAGACTCAGCATTCAGCCCCAGCCCGGGCCCAGGAGGGGTTGAAGAGAGCCTTGTCCTTGGGGCCACACTGAGCCCCCCTTTCCCCACAGAGAGGGTGAATCACAGGGGTCTGCATCCTCCTCTGTGGGGTGGTGGGGTGGGATTTGCTCATCTATCCTCAGTAGACCTTCTCCCACTCTAACCATTCTTTACTAGGGAAATGGATGTTTTCTCAAACTTAGGTGAGGTATTATGCAAACACAGCTTTTAGCATCCCTTTTCTCATCTTCCTTAATTCCTACCTGCCTGTTGTCCCTAAGCCCCTTCTGGAGAGAAATCCTGCTGCCGTGAGGGACACTGGAAGGGAGTCTCTAGGTGAGGATGATTCATACCTCTGGCTGTGCTCATTTCTCCATCAGGCCAAAGGAGGCAATGGAAACCTGTGGGTGAGATGCAAATGGGGGCGCTGATCTCCTCTCCTAGGACTGTGGTCCGGGTGTCCACCTCTGACACATCTTTCAGGTACCGGGGACGGAGGCGGTATCTGTGCTAGGCAACAAAGAGCTTATGAGTTGGTGGGCTTACTCTCCAGGTGGAAGTGCTGCGTGGTCCTGAGGCCTCCAGTTCCTAGTACAGGCCTAGCCCGGATCAGGTCCCGCAGACCTGCTGGTGGGTCAGTTGGCTGGTAGCCAATCAGGCAGCATGGACCAGCTGGAGGCTCGTTTCCTCCAAGAAGCCTCTACCAACACCCTGTTTCACATTAACGCCGCCTTCTCTGAACTCCCAGGGCATGTACATGCCACAGCACTCTCTGCCTTGCTCCGGCTGAGGTCTGTGTCTTTGAGCAGTGCCTCCCTGACCAGACTCTTAGCACTCAAATGCTTTGGTTCAAATTCATTGTAGCAAGGACTAGAAAGGAAGAGGCAAAGCAGGAAGGAATTCCAGATTCTTCCATAGCAGGTTAGAAACAAGTCTCTATAAAGTAAGGAAAGGCCACTGAAAGAGGACAAATCCCAGAGCATGATCATGGCTATTATTATTATTATTATTTTTGGCTACAGGCCAATTCAGTTGAAGATCTGATTTAAATACTGCTTTAGAAGAAGGTAGGGAAATTCACAGATAATAAATATGAAAAACAAATTTTAAGTCCAATAGCTACTTAGCCTCATGGCTGAAAAGTGTTGTGTGTCACAAAATACCATTCCTGTAAAAAGCTTAGAAAGATTTCGTTGGAATACTGATTGTGCAAACTTGGGTAAGACAGTCTCAGTTATTTTATCCGTTGAAATGGGAATAATCACCCAAGTTTCCTAATTGTCTCATGAAGACGAAATGAGATAAGCAAGTAAAGTGCCTAGCAGAGTGCTAAGCAGAGCATGGTGCTCGCCTTCAGTTTCCTCCTGACCGCCCTATGTCAGGACTCAGCAAACTTTTTCTGTAAAGGCCAGATAATAAATAATTAAAATTGTGGACTATAAAGTCTTTGTTACAATTACTTAGCTCTGCTGTTGAATGCCAAAGCATCCACAGACGATATGTAAATGTCTGAGCATGGCTGTGTTCTGTTAAGTAAATTTGCTTTTTCAGAACAGTGAAATTTAAGTTTCATATAATTTTTACATGTTACAAATTATTATTCTTCTTTTGATTTTTTCCACCCTTTTAAAATGAAAAAAATATAAGATCTTTAGTTTGTGGGCCATCCAAAAACAGGCTTGGCCTGGGAGCTGTGGCTTGGTGCCTCACATTCTCGCTGACTCTCTTCCCTTGAATCAGTTTCTTATCCCTAAGACTCCTTAGGTCTTCTTATTTCTTGAGTTCTCTATTCTGTCGTACATTCTCTCCTCCAAGACATAAGTTTAGGAACTCAAGAAATCTAGGCCTGCCCAGCTGGCTTCTCCTCCCTGCCCAGGTGACTGGGGACCCTGGAGTCTTGTCTTATCTTGTTAGGTAGCAGGGTTGCTGGGATGCAGAGAGAGGATGACTCACTCGTGATAGTTCTGCAGGGGCACTAAGCTAAATTCTCTCTTCATTCATCCTCTCCCCAGTCACCTGCCCACCCTCAAAAAAATCCATATCCCCAAACAACAACTGAAACCATTATTGTATTGTGGGTGCTCTGTGTTCTTTGGAGGCAGGAGCCAGGACTGCTACCTTCTAAAGGCCTAAACCAGTGCACCTTAGCTTAACAAGAGAAAGGATACAGAAGACCAAACTTTTTAAATGCTGCAATGTTGTCATCCCGTGTGAAGTTGTCATCAGCTCCTCCTTCAATAAACTCCCAAGTTGACTTAGACAGATGCTCTCGTGCACGGGCCTGAAAGTCTGTCAAACATGCTAGTGGCATCTCTGGACCTTCAAAGGGAAAACCAAAACCAGTCAGACAAAACCCAGTGAGAATACTGCAGGCATGGAGAAGGAGGGGAAGGGGGTGGGGCTACAGCATGAAGTGGTTTGGACTCAATGCCACCCACCTCCCCACCATATTCTTCATCTCAATGGAGGTACTTCCTGCCAAAGAGGGTGATCCCTCAGCCAGAGTGGGGAGTCATGCTGTGCTCCTCTACTTTATACTCCCATCCTCACCTCTTGATTATTTTGTCTTCTAAATATCCCTCATCTCTCCACTACTGTCTCAGATCTAGTTGAGACCCTGCCACCTTTTATAAAATTACAATTTCTCATCTTTGTCTCTTAAACTTCAGATTCACTGTCCATCTTGTGTCCTTCCAGCTGCCCAGGGGCTTTTGAAAATGCAAGTCTGATCATGGCCTTCATAGCTTTCTGGGACCTGGCTCCTAATGCCTCACTGGCTTCATTTATTGATGGCTTTTTCTTGTCATTTGATTCACTACAAGCATTTCCTGAACATGCTGGAAGGCTATCTCATACTTCTGTGCCTTTTTGGGAGGAGATCCATCAGGGTGGGAAAACTGGGGCTGAGCTGATACGAACATCTGAGAGTTCTGAGGCATCTCTGGGCATCTGGATTGCTTTGGGCTTAGCTGATATCAAGGAAGGGGCTGACTTTTTTGGACTCCTTGGCTGGGTCATTGAGCATGTTGCAAATTTAGAGACCAATAAGACAACATATGTTACCTTCACACATCCCCAACCCCAGTCTGAACCCTGTAAACCTGGAGCTGGTACTTCTGATAAAATCGGCCCTGAAAAGGAAAGAGATGGGTTTGGGGGCAAACACTCTACTTGGGGCAAGAGCAATAGGAACTGCACCTAGCAGAGACGCTGAAGGCACTGGGTGTAGTCAGTCACAGCATGTAGACGCCGTCATGAGAGGATTCCAGTTGGAAAGGCAGGGAAATCTGTAGTTAGTAGTTTTAGGCATCTCCCCAGTGGTTGGCAAAAGGGTAAGACTTAGCCAAAGGCTGTGGGGAGAAACTGAATGACTTTTAAGTCCTTGACTGAGTGATGGGGAAAAGCTCAGGAATTAGGACTTCAGACATGAGTGGGGCAGCTCCCCTAATGGATGAGGGGTCCGAGGAGGCCAGATGAAATGTGGGGTGCTGGGAATGTTGGTGGGGGTATAGATGGGGCAGACCTGGCCTCAGAGCATCTGGGCTCATGGCAGAATCTGGTCAAGTCAAACAGAGAAGTATCCCCAAACACCCACCTAAGGGGCTAAGCAGAAAGAAGTTATATGACAGAGAAAACAGAACCCTGGGATGTGCAGTGGCATCTGGATGGAGACTGGGAGGAGGGATTGGAGCACAACCACAGCACACCTTGTCAGTGGGTGGGCAGGGAGTTACTGAGGTGCTGAGTTGAGTCGGATAAAGTATAGCAACCCTGTCTAATTTATCTCATTCCTTCCTGACTCTTCACAAAGTTTAGTAACTTGATGAATTAATCTTTGTATTTATCCAACTGTGTTGCAATCACTTATTTAAAACTCTGTGTACACAAAAGAGTTAACATAGCGGGCCGAGAATGCTGTGAGAATTCACAGTGAGAATCCTGAAAGCCCTGCTCGGGACTGTGGACCTTGGCTGGAGTGTGGAAACTTTGATTTCAGGAGGGTTCTCACCATTCCCTGATAAGAATGGCTCACTTTGTCTGAACTGTTTGTACAAACAATGTGGTTTTTGCTGAACATCTGCTTTCCCTCTGAGAGTCTCAAGTTTTGGTACAGGTTTGGCAGATAGGGTCTTAGCCTCCAACCAGAAACCTTGGACACTGTGTCTCTGAAATGAGCTTCCCTGGTAGACATTTCACAATTGTCACAAGTCATGGCTGCAAGAATTAAGTGCATGCTGTGCAATTCCACTGGGAGAGTGCACCTGGTTTCCTCTAGATTTTTTCCTGTGAGTCTTTCCCTTTTGATTATTTTGCTTTTGGTTATTTTTGCTAATAAATCTTAGCCTCAATTATATGCTGTGTCTTAGGAGTTTTCTTAGTGCACCCGTGAACCTGGGACCCCCCAGCACACTTAGTAACCCCAGGCATTAGGATAGTATGTGACACTGAGCTGCTATTTGTAAGTATTCATTCCTAGAGTTTAACATCCCCCTGTCTGTCATCACTTTGCCTTGTTGGAAGAGAATTCTCTACCAAGTTTCAATTCCTGATGTCTCAACAAATCCCTATACTGTATATATTATACATTCACAGAAATGCTCTTCTGCAGATTTCTAGCATAGAAACTCAACAGGGCTTGTGAGTAATCCCAGGAAAAGGCTTAGACTCACTCAGAATTACTTGCCTGGAATAGTGTGAATTATGTCATCTGAAAGTTGCTCAGAAATAAGAAATAACCCAGCACTTTAATAGATACCAAACACTATTTTATTGCATTTCTATCTACTATTTCCTGGCTAGTTCCCTGTGAAGTACACAAAGAAGATGTGAGTGTCTTTATTTTACATATGAAGATAATGAGGCCTAGAATGAAATACCTTGTGAAAGATCCAAGTAAATTATGACAGGGAAGGCTCAGAATCATGCCTTAGTAGATAGACTTTCTCTTTTTTCAATTTCATGGTGAAGAGCCAAATAGTTGGTTCATGTAAATTCCTCATTATATTGAATTTAAAAGACTTTTGTAAGGTGAAAATGAAATCTTGATGCACTTTTTCCTTTTTGTAGCATATGTAAAGCTTAGTAAAGTAATGAGCTCATGATTTTTATTAGAGGCTCAATGTAAATAAGGCTTATAGTTGAAGAGAAAACCATTTTGCTGTTCAAAGCTTTCTCTACGTTTGGGAGGGAGACTTAGCACTAAATGTTTTTATGTATTTCAGTTTGATCCACACAAGATGTAGAGCCACCAGAAATCACAGAGGGCACCCAGTTACCTAATAGTTTTCTTGTATTCCCATGTTATTTTCTCTCCATTTCAGAATTTTTGTCTTCTTTTTTCCTCTGCCCCACCTGTCCAAGAAGAAGAGAAAGGAGAGAAAAGGGCAAAGTTTTCCAGCTCACCGACTGAGAACTTAAGCCCATTTTAGCTCATTTAGTCTGTATAGACTTTTTGGCTTGTGTTACAAAATGGTGAGTACAATTAGCGTAGGAGTGATAAGGACTCTAAAACCTAAGAGCAAGGACATTCAGTGGTACTGGTTGCTAAAGATCTGAAGTTCAAATAGTTTTCCCTAACTGAGGGAAGTGGGAAGGACATAGAATGGGGCTGATAGCATTTCAAGGCAGACTGTGTTTTCTTTAGTATTGCCATTTGATCTTACACAGGCTAGATAACAATTTGTCTTCCTTTGAAGATTTCATATAAGTCATATGTTTCATGTTGATTTTACTTCAGTAACTCTGGGATATCAGAGCTTCTATCTATATGAAAAGCCCCAAGCATGCTATAAGACGTCTCCAGGTAGGAATCACAGGGCAGATTGTCAGATGCAAGGGGGGAAGCAGAGGCTGCCTCTGGTGACCCACCTCCAGGTGCTCATGCTTGGTGCTGAAGGATGGTGTCCTTCAAGACCCTCTGACCTGGTCTCTGGGAACTTATGCCAAGTTTCCTGATGGAATGGCAGAGATAATATCAAGGCTACACTTTGGGGGCCTTGTTTGAGAGATTATGCTCTTCAAGGTTGGCTGAAAGTGCTTTAATCACTGTTTGTGGGGTGATGGCCTCAAGGAGGGAGGCTACAAAGCCTATAGCCATTTCCACAGCAATGGCAGCATTGGCAGAGGAGAAAGTGCCGCAGAAGGAGGCCCTGGTCGTGGAGTGTGTGGTGGTGCAGGGAGGCGGGGCCCCACAGCTGCCGGGTGCCATGGTTAGTGTCAGGACCAGAGAAGACATGGTCTATAGCACTTGCAACAGAGGCAGATGAATCCCCAGGAGCCCCCGAAATGGGAAGCAATGAGCAGGGTAAAGGATTTGAATCTCCAGGAGCATTAGGCAAGATATCAGAGTAAAAATGAGATCAGAATGTCCCTAACATTGGTATAGCCAAAGAACTAAGGCTCACATTTGTGGGGCAGTGAGGGAAGCAAGGAGCCTGGTGGGTATGACAGGCACAGTCTGGTCAAATGCTGCAAGATTGACCTGTGTTCCTATAACCCAGCGTCCATTCTGGCCTTTCCCCTGAACCCTCAAACAATGATTCATACTGTGTAAATCGAGGGTTCAGGAACCTTCACTGGTCAAGACAGTCATTTTTTTTTTTAATTCTGTTTTGTGTAATAAAAATCTCTTTTCTTTGGCTCACTACCTGTCAAACACTCTCATTAGCTGGTTTTTCTTCCCAATAATTCAACTTCTCTTGCACAGTAGGTATGTTCTCCCATGAGGAGGAGGATGTCTGGCTTCTTCAGAACCTCTTCTGCAGTAATGATGTGGACAGACTCGTGTCCAGGAGCTTGTTTATCATGGGTTGAAGAAGTTTTTGAGATTCTAAGGGGAGGCACATTTAGAATAGAGATATGCCACCCTGGAGCTATAGTGACCTTATCAGGTGATTAGCCAGCCCCTGTCCTGCCTCCCCAAGCCACTGTGACCCCAGATCCTGCCTGGTGAGGACTAGAAGACAGAAGGTTGACCTTCATGCAGCTGTGAGTGCTTTAGAGAGACGAAGAGATGTGCCCAAGTTTATACTGTGGCCGAATTTAGAAGTGAACCCGGGTCTCCAGGCTCCATGCTCAGGGCTCATTCTGACACGGTATGTGATGCTGCTGTTTCCTCTGGATAGTCTGGCACTGTTATCAAGAATTCTCTTCTCCTTATTTGAGAATTCGCTTCTCAGCATAGACTTAATGTTTCTAGAGACTTAATTTGTCTGTGTTGGATATCATCATTCCAGCACCTCCTCACACCTCCCGACCCTGCTCGGCGAGCCAGTGTCATCACAAGGGGCTGAGGCTGGAGGTGGAGAAGCATCTCGTGCTTATCTTTTCAGTGGTTTAGTGTTTGTGGCCTACTGAGAGGCCACCTGTTTCAGGGGCATTACTGACACTTACTAGTCGTATGGGTAAAGGCAACTTACCTCCTCTCTCTGGGCCTCAGTTCCTCATTTCAGAACTATAGGTTTTTACATATTTCAGCTTAATATCTATCAGATCTGAAGCTACCGGAAATTAAAGGTTGGGCTGAGGCCCTTCGCGTCTTCACATTCTGTGCTTCCCTTGCCCGTAAATGCAAAGACCTCTGTTCAGATGAGGTCATGTTAACATTCTCCTTCAGCACTTACTTCGAGGCAATAAAGTACAGAATGGGAGCCAGCACATTACTGGGGCTTATTTCCTAACACAAAATAGCTGGGTGCTCACAGCCTTCTTTACCTCTTCCTCACCAACCTTAAGGCCTCTTTGTATTAGCTGTCCTGGCCTGTGGTGCCATGTTATGTCTTCAGTATGGAACTGTTTGACCAGTTACGGAACAAATTTCCTTGTACAAAAGGATATGGGATCTCACCCTACCTGCTCTCCCGGCTCACAGACCAGATAACCTTTCTCACTACACATGCATGCCTCTTCCTCTTTCCTCAATGGCTCCAAGCGATCGGCTGGCTTTCTCCAGGAAATCTTTCTCACCCCTTCTTCCCTCTCCCTTATCTCTTCCATCTCTTCCTTTTTCCATTTGCAAACCAGAAATAACTCCATCATGTTGGAAGAGATTACTTCTACATGGTCCCTTGGATCAACAGCAACAAATTTGAAGTCACCTTAGGCCCAGCTGAGCCCCTCCAAGGCCTTTGGAAATGCCCTCAGAGGCACCTTAAGATGGCTTACTTAAGGGGCCACTGAACTCCTCTTTAATTAAGCCTGCTTTTCCTCATCAGCAGGATTTATAAAAAATAAAAAAACTTTTACACAGTTTTCTTAGTTTTCAGGTTTGGCCTAGGACTAGCATTATGACACTGCTTTATACTCATTTGCATTGCAAATATGCCAATTTTCTGCTACTTTGGGAATCAAATAGAGTATTTTCAGTCATGTGGGACTCCAACCACTGTTTTAATAGCATTCTTCCTATGGGAAAATGTGTGCTGAGTTCCAAACAAATGACTTCCAAGTAGAGTTTTGGAGCACAGCCATGTTGTAAATCATGTGCTTTCTTTGGGGGTGGGGGGATGTTGGAGACCCTCTAGGGTGTACTGGGGAACACTGATCCAAGTGCTCATATAGTGTGAAAGCTTGGGGATTTTCCTATTCTATTGAGCAGTGGAATAATTTCATTACACATAGTCCCTTGGAGACAGCATGATGGCTCCTTAATAAAATAATAACAGAATTGCAGCCATTTATTGGGTGCTTCATGATGGCCATACACTGCATAAATTTTTATGTGCATAAATGTTACAATCCTTTTAGTAATATTCAAACACAAATATTATTATCCCCATTTCACAGACAAGAAAATTTAAGTTTCTTATCTGTGAAGAGATTAAATTATTTTGCCCAACATAGTTCATTTAATAAAATATTCTGACTGCCATGGCCTGGCTTTTAAGTATCATGAAAAGAAGCAAATGTGTGTGCAGCCAAGTTTGGTTTGTAGAATGAGAGAGTTAGCATTTGAAATGCCATGGGCATACAGCTGTGCTCTCTTCCCTCAACATAATCATAAATCAGCAGGAAGTAAGAAAATACAATTATTTAGTTGGTCATAAACAATAACCTCACACATTTAAATCAGTCTTAACAATCTACAAAACACTCTTACATGTATTATATTATTCCCATTTGATGCTCACAATAACCCAGTAAGATAAAAGGCAATCATAGCTATATAAGGGTACCATTTTACAGATGAAAAAATTAAAACCCAGAGAATCCAAGTGAATTATCTTCACTTTTATGATGAGAATGGCAAAGTCTAAGCAGGAATCCTTCTGACTTGCTTTGAATATCCTTGAACCAGTGTAGAGTATTAGTGGTATGTTAGGAGACATCAGGTGTTGGTCCTGTAGAGTCAGAAGAGCTGCATAAAGTAATCTTGGTCAATTCCCACAAGATCTGGGCCATTGGAAAAGGTGTCTTGTGTGGGGATCACTGCCTCTACCTCTCCATTGCTCAGAAAGGATGGAGTGTGCAAAACAGACTTCAGAAACTAGGTAAATGTTCAGAATGAGCTCTGAATTCTATTCACTACTGACTTTAGGTCTTGTAGGTTTAGCTCTTTCTGATATTGGCAGTTTCTGGAAGCTGCAGGACAGAGGTGAGAAAGGGCAGAGCGGTCAGGGATGGAAAAGGCCAGCTGTGGGATGGAACTCTGTCTTTGCCTTGTACCTCTCACTATGGCAACTACTCCGGATTCTATTTCTGGAGGCCATTGCTCACAACTGCTAATGATACTCCATAAGGCATTAATAGCTGAGGGAGTCCATGGAGTAAAAAAGATAGACTCCCATTAGTTTGGGAACTGGGCAAACCTGGGCTTAAACATCTGCTAGGCTGCTTGCTCTCCATAGTTCCATGAAAATGTTATTTGTGGAAGAAAAATGTTAATGCCTATCCCATTGGGCCTTCATGAGGACTAAACACTTTAGCCCATATAAAGTTTCTAGAACAGTGCCTTGTATAGAATAGATCATCAGTAAATGGTAGACCCATTTGCATTACTTCTCCTGTTTTTGATGTGCATTCCCACCTGAGGCTCTGGACGCTGAAAGTTGCTTCGAGACTGGAATATTCCTGTGATAGTATAATTTAGACTCTGTCAGATTTGCTTGGTAGTTTATCCAACAAGGTTTACTGAGTACATGCTATCACCCAGGAAGGCAGAGGCATTTACTACTCATCACATGGGTTGTAAATGTGCTCCGCAACATTTCCCACTTGCTTAAAGACAGGCAAGGTTATATGACTAGTTCTGGCATGGAAGTGATGTGTATTAATTCTGGGCGAGGACTTTAAGAGCTGGTATGTGGCCTCCCATCTCTCTTTTCTCTTGCTACAACAATCTGGAGGCTGTGTCCTTCAAAAGATGCAGCTATAAGACAAAGGCTGATCCCTGAATCACCATTCCAAAATAAAGACTTGGAGATCAACAGATTTTGTATGAGTAAGAAATAAATATTTGTGTGTTAACCTACTTCTTTACTACAGAACAGCCAAACCTAACCTGACTAACATATCTAGGCATTGTGCTAACCACTAAATCTAAAAATTGAGAGATTAAAAAAGAAGCTTATATGATGTCAATCTCTGCTCTCAAGAAACTTACAGTCAAAGGGGAAGAATTCAATATCTTGTTGCCTACGGTGTAGTATGTAACACGATTCCATCTGTGGGACTTTGGGGAGATTCCCATTGCCTCTAAAACTGTGTCCCATAGATGATGTTCTACTCCACCTAGTTTAGACAAGCTCTAATTCTCAGCTATTCATAAAATCTCTATTTCATAGAAATCTGAGAATCAGAGAATCTTATAAAATGCAGAACAGTCTAGTGATTAAGAATAAACCTAACCTGACTAACATATCTAGGCATTGTGCTAACCACTAAATCTAAAAATTGAGAGATTAAAAAAGAAGCTTATATGATGTCAATCTCTGCTCTCAAGAAACTTACAGTCAAAGGGGAAGAATTCAATATCTTGTTGCCTACGGTGTAGTATGTAACACGATTCCATCTGTGGGACTTTGGGGAGATTCCCATTGCCTCTAAAACTGTGTCCCATAGATGATGTTCTACTCCACCTAGTTTAGACAAGCTCTAATTCTCAGCTATTCATAAAATCTCTATTTCATAGAAATCTGAGAATCAGAGAATCTTATAAAATGCAGAACAGTCTAGTGATTAAGAATAAAATATTGGGAATTTTGCTTGCTGTTAAGAGGTAGAAGATCACAAAAAGCCATTTCTCCTTTGATCCTTTTTCTGGGCTCTCTATTCTGCTCCACTGACCTATTTGTCTATCTCTATACCAATACCACCCTGATTTGATCTCTAGTCTTGGGCTGTTCTCCCCAGATTGAACTATAGATTTAATTTGACCCAATCACAATCCTGGGAAGCTTTGCATTAAAGGAAATTGGTGCCTAGCAGGACTGTACCTTTTAGATTTTCCAGAACTTGCATGTGAACATATTTAACCCATTTTCCCTTCTGAGGACACCCATAAGTACTCCACCAGGTGGTTCTAAGACTTAACTCTGCTAGACATAATATCTCTGCCTGCAGTGTCTTTGAAACAAAGCTTTCCTTTGCCAGTACCCTGAGTGAATTACCACCTACACAACCCCCTTTTACCTTGTAAACTCACAGTTAGCACCTATGATACCTCCTACAGTGTCTGGCCTCTTTTCTCATCCTGTCTGCCACTCCACCTCCTTCCCCAGTTCCAACTACACAGAAGACACCCAACAACAAACCTGACATTAGTGTCTTCCAGTACGTGGGAAAAGTAGTGTCTAGAGGCAGCTGCTCAAAGCCGGGCTCACTGCTGGACGTAGCAGGAAATAGCTGATCCCTAGCCATAAGTCCACAGTACAGAAAAATTCCAAGGTTGAAAGTTGATCTTTTAATGGGAAAGCATCCAGCTTGGAAGCAAATGAGCAACTAGGGCAGAGCAGGATTAACATTGAAATGAACTTTGGGTGTTTTTCAGAGTAACCTCAAATTTAAAGGAAGTTCATACAAAATTAAACTTGAAAATAAAATAGTTGTTTATTTGCTTGCAAACCATATGTTTTCCCAATTCATCAGAGATAGTTAAAGGAAGGGGGTGGGCAATTTCAGGTGGAGAATCCCAAAGCCCCCATGTTGTAAAGGAAGGTCAACTGCTGAGGGCCTGGGCAAGGGTCAAGGGCAAATGCAGCCTGGCAGAGCCAGGGAGCCAGGGAGAGCCACTGCTGTTTTTGAATGGAGAAATGATTCAGTAATGTAGGCAGAAGGCTGGAGAAAGCAAATATAATATACACAACATAAAAGAGAATTCCCAAGAACAATCATGTGAGGTTCACTAAAGGTCACTAATTAATATCTAATTGGCTAGGCCCTCCTATCTCCAGCTTTTGCCATATAGCTTTAGTAATATAACAACAAATAACATTTAGCAGGTACTTATAATATGCTTACAATACATTGCTCAATGCGTTGCATGCATTATTTCATTTAATCTTCACAACATCCAAATGCATAAGATATTATTTTCCCCATATCCTAGAGAAAGTGAAATTATTTAACTTGCCCAAGGTTTTTGTCAGTAATGAACAGAGTTGGGATTTGAATATAGTCTGTAGCCACCATTTGTGGAATTATAGGCTATTCTGAGGACCATGACAGTGGGATCTGCCTGCCTTTTAGAATCTGAAGTTGGAGTAAAACGTAACTTCCCTGCTTGTTTGTTATGCCTTCCCCACTCAAGGCTTATTCTTCATCTGCTTGGAGGGTAATTGCTACCTGTCATACTACCACTAGATGGGACTGTTACCTCATAAATACTTTCAAAGTGGCTATACAGTGGGATCTGGAAATTCCTTTTCCATAGCAATTTTCACCCACCCACAATCAACCTCTATGCCTTGTCCACATTCACTCTCACAGTCTGCTCACTGTCCCTTGATCCAGTCTTTTCATTGCCATTTTCCAATTTTATACCTCATCCCTCCCTTCCAGGAAGTACCGCAGCCTGGTGGTCAGGAACACAGGCCCTGGAGACTGAGCTCAAATCTTCAGGCACTTACTAAATTCCACGTGTTACTTAATTTCTCTGTGCTTCAGCTTCCTCATAGTATCTCCCACACTTCATTGAGAAATAAATAAGTGATAAGGTTCTGGTAGTAGACAGAATAGTGGAAGTTCTCATACAGTTCTTATAACTAGATTCATAGTTTGAATTTAGTTCAAACTATATTCTCAAGTTTGAATCTAATATAAGGTGCTAGGACTTTTTGAATCTGATCAGTCCTGAGCTAAGGATTATCTTGTCTTCCAAGGTGACACTTTAATGTCAGCCTTCACTGCTTTAGCCTATGTGAGTTAATCTCAAGGAAGGCATAGAAGAGAATAGATTCATGACAGGCCCAGCTGTGTATCTGATAGTGGGCTCAACAGGGCAGCACCAGTGGGCTTGGAGGGCATTTCAGGGGGAGGTTGTGAGGACACTTTATTTTTCAGGTGACCATGCTATTGAAAAATGTTCCTACTTCACTTGGGTGAAGAGAGATGGTGGGTCATTCCAGAGCAGTCATGGCGCAGCTCCTTAGAGGGGAATGTAGGTCCATGAGCAGAGAGGAATACCCTGGTACCCCAGACGGAGGGTACTCTAGGCCCCCCTGCTCCCTGCTGTGCTGGCAGGATGACCATCTTGCTTGAGCTGATTCCAGAATCAGAAGAGTCCTGGGGCTTGTGAGGTCTGTGCTCAGGCCCACCAGGGTTAATGACTTACCCGGCCCTGTGGAGCAATGGTCAGGTTAATGTTAACCTTGGGCTGGTGAAGCCCAGAGCTGACCAGCCGTGGGTGGGGCTAAGTCAAGACAAGGAGCGGCCTGCATCTCTGCAGCCCCGGGGCCCCTCAGAGGCTATGAGGCCGTCAGCTGTGGCCGCACCGGGACAGTGAGCCAAAGGGAGGGGCGGGGAGGCAGCCCACAGATGGGCTTGCTGGAGGGTGTGGTTATGGGCCGGTGACTTTTGTCAAAGGGCTGTTTAGTTTTTTCTGTTTTATGGGGTCTAAAATAGAAAGCAAAATTGTCTCTCCAGTTGCTGTTTGCTACATAGATCAAGGTTTGATTGGAAGTAGATGGAATTTCTGGATGTAGTGGTGACAGACAGTATTCTAAAGGCTTTACATGTATCAATCATGAGATAGGGATCATTATCCACATTTTACAGATAAAGCACACAAAGGAAAAGTAAATTGTCTAAGATCTAGTTAGCAAGCAGCAGAGCTGGGATTCAAAGCCAGACAATATGGCCCCGAGCCTACACTATTAACTATTATGGTATGAATTAACACTACAGAGAGTAGTTCATCACAGACCAAGGGAGAAAAAGAGATCACTTCTGGAAAGGAAATGGGTGACCCAGATAAATGGGTGGCTCAGTTGGTCCACTAACATAAATTCAACTCAGTCCTTGGGTCTGAAATTGAACTCACGGGTCCTGCTCCTACAGGAACAAGGGTGTGCGTGTTCAGCTGAGGCCTCAGACCTGCTGAACCCATAGCACGCTGGGAATGGGTGACCAGTGGCTCAGCTAGTGAGGGGTCCCGGAATCTGCCCATGAGACTATGCATGTCTTCAGGAAAATTTTCACAACTCACTGGCTGACTTCAGCCTCTACTTGCACCAAACACATTGTTTTCATGTCTCTATCTTGTATGTGCCGTTTCTTCTTCCAGGAATAGTTTTAATCATTCCTACTTGTCCTTAAGATCAGCTGATGTGTCTGCCCATCTGTGAAGCCTCCCCCAGTGCTGCCAGGAAGAGCTGGCAGTGTGAGTGTGTATGAAACTCATCACATACATTCCAGTTGGCCCATTATTCTGGCGGCTTTTGCAGGACTTTGAGTTCCTTAAGTCATTCATTCTTGAATCCCACTGCCCAGTGCAGGATCTGGTGCACATTAGGCACGTGGTGACCAGTGTAGAATCAGAGAACAGATATTAAAGCCCAAATTCTCAAAGAGGCAGGGAGAGAGTGTAGTCAGAATCATTTACTTCCTCTCTAAGGATATTTTTTCTCCTCTTTCTCCTTTCGGTGATGGGTCTCACTGGAAGAATATGGCCAGTTTAATGCAAAGGTCAGGGTGCCTTGGTTCCTGAACTGTTGATTGCTGTTCAAATTTCTGAACCTGTGATGACCTCAGTAAATGCAGGGACTAAACCTCAAATGAGCATGTCAGGTTATATTGGTACAATCAGCTTCATGGGGGTGCGGAGGAGCTTTCTTAAGTCCTGTATCTCATCAGCCTCTTGCCCATATATGGCACCATGGACTCCCATCTGAGCCGGGTTGGGAATGCAGAGTGAGCTGTACCAGCTGCAAATGGACTGAGCAGGCGGAGGCCGCTAGGGTAAGTGGGGTCTCTGGTGCTCTTGAAAGCAGCTGCCTGAAGCTCCCCTTCTCCTGCTTTAATCCACTGACTCTTTCCCTCTTTCCCTGAGGCTTCTGCATGAGCTCAGAGCTCATTCCTTGAACTAGGGATATTCAGCAGGTTCCATGAATGTGCTGCCTGGCTGTTCTCGCACTTTGCTGGGAGGTGGCAGCAATCATCTGTCATGCTTCGAACCTATTTGATCCACAACTGCCTAGTCTACTTTCTAGAATCATGGGTTGACTGTAATTTTAAACATTAAACTACAGTTAGCCCCATTACCTCAGTCCCCACCTCAATTATTTCCACTAAATATTGATTGCATGATTCTGGATCATTTAAGACCTGAGGCATAAAAAAAAAAAAGAAGTGGTAGAGAAGTCAGGAGCAGAAATAGAACACAGTTATGATCTCCTGGTAGCTGAAACTATTTTTTGGTTTCATTTTTTAAAAATTAGACCATAATTTACACATAGTAGAATAAACTCATTTTGGGTGCACAATTTGATGAGTTTCAACAAAACCAGTGTAACCACTGCCACAATCAAGATATTGTACATTTTCATCACCACAGAAAATTTCTGGTTTCTTTTCATTTAGTGCCCTCCCCTCACAGCAGGGATCACTGCTCTGATTTCCATCACTGGAGCATAGTTTTGCCTGTTCAAGAATTTTAAATTAATGAAATCAACAAAGTGATTATTTATGTATTTCTAGCTTCCTTAATTCAACAAAAGGATTTTGAGATTCATCTATATTGTTGCTGGTTAGTAGTTTATTTTATTTATCATGTAGTATGGTTCCATTATATTACTATAATACAAATTTGTTTCACCTGTTGATGGGCATTTGTGTTGCTACTGGTTTGGGGTTTATTATGAACATTCTTGTGCCATCCTTATCCTTTTTTGTCAACATGTTTTCATGTCTTTTGGATAGATGCCCAGCAGTAAAATTGCTGAGTAACAGAGCAGGTGTACTTTTAACTTTGTAAGTAAAAGTTCTCCAGAGCAGTTGCACTGTATTTTTACACTCTAACCCTGAGAATACAAAAGTTGGGGTTATCTCCTTTACTTAGGCTTTGCTCTGTTAACTCATATTCACTACTTGGAAAGAACAGTTCAAAAGACCATCTATTGGTTCTTAGAAATGGATTTCAGGGAGCATTCTTCCCTAAGAGATGCTTCATACTTGAATAACCTTGATGGGAAAAGGCTTTTCTATGCCTTGGGACTTTAGACACAACACACAAAATTAGGAGCAATGAGGGAAGAAGGCAATGCAGCTCAGCCCACCTTGCTGGATCGAGCCCAACAACCAGTCTGATGACAGATGTTCAAGCCACATCACCCTCATAGCCAAGAGTGGCTTTGTGACGAGTAACTATCCCATCCCTGAGTAATCAGAGAATTTATTTGGAGTCTGTTAGCTAATTGTTCCCATAC